GTGTGTGTGTGTGTGTGTGTGTGTGTGTGTGTGTGTGTGTGAGCGCGCGTGCGTGCGTGCTGGTCCTAAGGCTTGAATTCAGGGCTGGGATGCTGTCTTTGAGCTTCTTTGTACTCAAGACCAACAATCTACCACTTGAGCCACAGCTCCACTTGTGGCCTTTTCTGAGTGGTTTATTGAAGAGTCATGGATGTTCCTGTCCGGACTGGCTTTGAACTGCAGTCCTCTGATCTCAGCCTCCTGAGTAGTTAGGATTAGAGGTGTGAGCCATCGGTACCTGGCTCTTTTTCACTTGTTTTTTTATTTTGTTTCAGTGTCAGAATTTTAAGGTTTTGATGAGGTTGGGCTCATTGACCTCTTTTGGATTTGGATTGCACGTAGCGGGTCATTGTGGCACAGAGATGTTTTCCTGAGGTCTGCAGAGCTTCAGATACAATGGGCAGAACTTGTGACTGTACTCCTGCCGAGGCTTAAGATGATGGGTAGAGGAAGAAAGCACATGTGCATTTTAGAAGTTCCATAACCAGTTGACAAGGTGGTTTTGTGTTTCAGACCCTCCTGCATGAGATGATACACGCCTACTTGTTTGTCACTGATAATGATAAAGACCGGGAAGGACACGGTCCCGAGTTCTGTAAACACATGCGTCGTATCAACAACCTGACCGGAGCCAATATAACGGTATAGACAGTGCCTGCGTTTCTCTTCCTGCTAGTATAGCGGTATAGACAGCACCTGGAGAAGACAGGATCTTACTTGTTATTCAGGCTGCCCTAAAGCTCACTATGTAGTCTCTCCTGGCCTCAAACTGGGAGTCCGTCTGCCTCAGTGTCCAGGGTGCTGGAATTACAGGCTTCCCTTATTCTGTCTGACTTCAGTACACTGTAATGAGAGCTAGTATTTATTTTAGTAACTCCTGAGAGTTAGTTAAGAGGAGGATTTTCAGCAGAGAAAAGGAAGCTGACAGAAGGGGACTGGCTTCTCTTGGTGCCGGGCAGTGAAGGGCAGCAGAGCCAGCCCTGTCCCTAAGTCCTCTGCCCCTCCAGGTCAGCATTGTAGGAGCTCCCTCTCTGGACTTATATGGTGATCTCCCAGTATGTTTCCTTTTTTTTTGGGGGGGGGGTCCGGTGGTGGGGACTGAACTCTGGGCTTGGTCTCTATCCCTCAGCTCTTCAGCTCAAGGCTAGCACTCTACCACTTGAGCCACAGCGCCACTTCCGGCTTTTTTCTTCTTGTTTATGTGGTACTGAGGAATCGAACCCAGGGCCTCAGACATGCAAGGCAAGCGCTCTACCACTGAGCCATCTTCTCAGCCCAGTATGTTTCCTTATGATAGCCTTCCTCAATCTGTCCAGTTCTCCACTGCCTCTGTGCCATTCTTCTCATCAGAGGGTTTTTGTTCATGGTTAGCATACATGGTTGGCGGTGGTAAACCCGGGGCTCAGCCTGCTTGAGTTCTCACACCATAGACTCCTGGTGAGCCTCCTGGTGGCTGTTAGCAGGTGAAGGCGGTGAGGAGGCAGGGGTAAGAGAAGACACGCGGGCATGGTGACACCGCTTTAGCACTCATACCACACTGTTCATCAGTGTGCAATTTGCTTGGGCTCTGCATTCTTAAGAATTTAGACCAGGAAATCACTGCTGTCTCTTCAGACAGTTCTTGCTCTGGTCACAATTATTTCTCCATGCTTTAATGTTGTTATCTTGTGATACTAAGTCTTGTTTCCATCCTAGTCTTTTATTTATTTACTTTTGGTGGGGGGGGGAGATTGTCAATCTTGGGGCTTGAACTCAGGGTCAGGGCACCGGTCCTGAGCTTTTGTGCCCAAGGGTAGCACTCTACCACTGGAGCCATAGCTCCGCTTCTGGCTTTTTTGGTAGTTAATTGGAGCTAAGAGTCTACCGGACTTTCCTGCCCTAGCTAGCTTTGAACTGTAATTCTCAGATGTCAGCCTTCTGAGTAGCTAGGATTCAGATGTGAGCCACTGGTGACTGGCTTTGAACCTAGGTGGGTTGGTTTGGTTTGGGGTTTGGGTTTTTTTCATTACAGTACTTAGTTTCGAAAGATTGCACATTCATAACGGTGTTTCATGGTTCAATTTTGTCCTACATGTTCTGTCTTTGCACAGGTTAGGGAGTATTAAATCAACTTTCGTTATTTCCCATTAATGTCAGCTTTTGAACATAAACTAGAGTAACTCATTTTTCCAAAATAGAGCTATTTGGGGCTGGGAAGGTGGCTCAGTGGTAGAGTGCTTGCCTTGCATGCATGAGGCCTTGGGTTCGATTTCTCAGCACCACATAAGCAGAAAAAGCTGTAAGTGGCGCTGTGGCTCAAGTGGTAGAGCGCTAGCCTTAAACTGAAGAGCTGAGGAACAACGCCCAGGCTCAGACTTCAGGCTCCACGACCGACAAAAAAAATAACAACAAAATAGAGCTATTCAAAAATCTCTGGTTTAAATGGAATGATTGAAAAAAAAAAAAAACAGACAGCTGTTTGTGTAGTGTTTCCTCAGACCTATAAACCTTTAGGTTTAACTGAAGGTTAAAATGTCTTCTTTGGCTCAGATCTACCACAGTTTCCATGACGAGGTGGAGGAGTACCGGAGGCACTGGTGGCGCTGTGATGGGCCGTGCCAGTACAGGCAGCCCTACTACGGCTATGTCAAGCGTTCCACCAACAGGGCACCCTCCTGCCACGACTACTGGTGGGCGGAGCACCAGAAGACCTGCGGAGGCACATTCATAAAAGTCAAGGAACCCGAGAACTACTCCAGGAAAGGCAAAAGGAAGGGGAAGGTAGACCAACAGCCAGGCTCTGCAGTGGAGAACAAAGGTAGCTTTGCACTCTTTACCTTCCCTTGGGCCATAGCTGTGGCTGGGAGAGACAGGATTGTCTCTGGTATAGAAAGAAGGCTTCAGGGGCTGGGAAGGCGGCTCAGTGGCAGAGTGCTTGCCTCACATGCATGAAACCCTGGGTTCAATTCCTCAGCACCACATAAACAGAAAAAGCTGGAAGTGGCACTGTGGTTCAACTGGTAGAGTGCTAGCCTTTAGCAAATGAAGCTCAGCCCCTTTGTTCAAGCCCATGACTGGCAAAAAAAAAAAAAAGCCGGGCACCCGTGGCTAATGTCTGTAATCCTAGCTACTCAGGAGGCTGAGATCTGAGAATCATGGGTCAAAGCCAGCCCAGGCAGGAAAGTCAGTGAAACACTTTTTTTTTTTTTGGTCTGGTTGTGGGGCCTGAACTCTGGGCCTGGGCGCTGTCCCTTAGCTCTTCAGCTCAAGGCTAGCACTCTACCACTTGAGCCACAGTGCCACTTCCGGCTTTTTTCTTTTTGCTTATGTGGTGCTAAGGAATTGAACCCAGGGCCTCGTGCATGCAAGGCAAGCACGCTACCACTGAGTCACCTTCCCAGCCCCATGAAACTCTTTATCTCCAATAAACCACTCAGAAAACCGTAAGTGGAGCTGTGGCTCAAGTAGTAGAATACCTGCCTTGAGCTGAAGTGGCTCAAGTAGTAGAATACCTGCCTTGAGCTGAAGAGCTGAGGGATAGTGCTCAGGCCCAGAGTTCAAGCCCCACGACCAACCAAAAAAAAAAAGAAAAGAGAAAACTTCACTTTGCTCTGTTGAAGTGAGTCAAAATGGAAGCATTTTCCACGGGCAGTGCTTGAATAGAGTCCCTTTCTCCCTCTTTGCTGTTCACTGAGTTACTAGGAAGCAAAAGGCGAAAGGATTGTGAAAATACACACAATGTAAAGAACTGTCAGGATCAGGAGTCTTGACACCTCCCGTCACGTGTGTGTGTGTTTGTGTGTGTGTGTGTGTTTGTGTTTCCTGGTGACATCTGCCAGTGTTTGTGTTTGGGAGGATGGGATGGGACATGTTTAGTCATGTGTCATTTTTAAGATCTACCCTTCCTGCTCAGTGCTAGTGGTTCATGCCTGTAATCCTACCTACTCAAGAGGCTGAGATCTGAGGATGGTAGTTTCAAGCCAGCCTGAATAGAAAAGTCCTTTAAACTGCCATCACCAATTACCCACTGAAATGGCAGAAGTGCAGCTATGGCTCAAGTGGCAGAACACCAGTCTTAAGTGAAAAAGCTCAGGGACATCTCAGTTGCAAGCCCCAGAACACACACACACACACTTGCAAGCCCCAGAACACACACACACACACTTGCAAGCCCCAGAACACACACACACACACTTGCAAGCCCCAGAACACACACACACACACACTTGCAAGCCCCAGAACACACACACACACTTGCAAGCCCCAGAACACACACACACACACACTTGCAAGCCCCAGAACACACACACACACACACACACACTTGCAAGCCCCAGAACACACACACACACTTGCAAGCCCCAGAACACACACACACTTGCAAGCCCCAGTACACACACACAGAGGTAGCTCAGGGACATCTCAGTTGCAAGTCCCAGTACACACACACACACACACAGAGGCAGGGAATCTCTCCTGCCTGTGACATAGTCTTGCCAATTGCTTCTCCCCCTGGGCGCTGCTGCTTTGATGATAGAGCTCAGGAGCACAGGCTGAGGTCCCCACACCTGAGAGGCTGAGAATGTAGGGGAAGGCTAGTTCTGGTCCTGTAGCAAATCTCCCCTTTCTTCTCTTGTATGTTATGTAAGTGAGGGATTCTTTTCATCTTTTTCCTCACTGCCAGAGCTTTGACTTCCAGAGGTTGTCTGTGTCCTGAGAGTGGGCCACTAGCTGCGGGTGTGGGTGGGAAGGAAACCCACACTGCTTCCATGTTGTGCTTCCCCTGCAGGTGAGCCCCCGGGAAGGGCGGCCCTGCCGCTGGTCCCCTTCAGTGGGAAAGGGTATGTTCTCGGGGAGACGCGCCCACTCCCAGCTGTCGTGACACCCACCGCCTCACGCACCATTTGTGAAGAAGACTCAGGCCACTCAGGTCTGGATAGGACAGCAGATGTGCGAAGACCTGACTCCGGCACCCGCGTCCGCGTGGAGTTGGACCACGGGGGTTCCTCCAGCAGCACGCCCCAGCTGGCCACCCCACTCCCCAGCGCCACTTTCCAGAGCGTGCTGAGCAGCTACTTCCCACAGAAGGCCTTCCGCAGCGTGCCCGTGCCCACGCCCTCACTCAAGAGCGGGGCCCCTGCCGCCACCCCCCGGACCCCAAGAAATCCCTCCAAAGCCGGGCCATCGGCCTCTGTGGCTGTGTCCCAGAAAGGCCGTGGGGGTGAAGACCTCCCATTCACAAACAAACGACCCAGGCTGGAGGCCAAGACAGCATTTGACCACTTTTTTATCAAGAAGGAGCAAGTTCCCCACGGGCCTGGTGACGCAGAGAGAAGTTGGAGCCCAGGAGCCTCCACACCGGCTGCCAGCCACTCCTGTGGTCAGAGCCCAGTGGTCAGCTGCCCCGTCTGTCAGGAGGACGTGGCGGAGACGCAGATCAATGAGCACCTGGACTTGTGTCTGGAAGGGACAACGGGGAGGTCTGAGGCCGCGGGGTCTGAGATGGGGCGGGGCTCGCCGTGGCCCGAGGTTCTGTGATGGCATCTGTCCCGTCTGAGCGTGCCAGGGTGGCCCTGGCCACAGGAGCCCCTCACCTCAGGGGGCCCCAGACATACAAGTTGTGGACACTGCCAGACCCCATTCCGGAGAGCAGCCGTCCCTTTCGGCGAACCACACTTGGCCTGTGCTCGCCTCCGCCCGGCCCGCTATGATGTGCACAAGACGGTGTAGATGTCTTTCCTCCTCACTCCTCTCAGAGCTTTCCACTTGTGTCGGGGTCCTTGGGGGGTGCCTTCCTTCCTGTGCTTACATCTGCCCCCCGAGCGCCAGTCACCACCATGCCCTCAAGCATCGCTCCGGGCACACACACTGCCCCAGCGCATACGCAGCAGGGCCCTGCCGTTGTCGTTTAGGGTACTCAGGTTTTCTTGGGTCTTTTTCTTTCAAAATCATAACAGGAAATTTTCTATATTTTAAAGAATTTTCTACCTTTCCAAGAGGTGGCGGCAGATTTTAAAGAATTTTCTACATTTTACAGTTATTTTAAAGATAATTCTCTTCCACCTGCACTGAAGGTAGAGGTAGAAGGAATGGAGCAGGGGAAGTCTATTTTGGGGTGTTATTAAGAACAGCCTCGCTAGCTCTGCAGACCATGTTTTACACCAACTTTAGCTGTTGCCTGAGTTGAGCCACATGAGTGGCAAAGGCTGGGGCTGAGCGGAGGTGTGTGGACCTGGCATCCTGCCCGGTCAGGAGCAGCAGTGGTGGGGCCCCAGTATGGCTGCCTTGCCACTGCTCACTTCCCCTGTGTGGCAGCTCTGTCTCCCCACTGCCTTCGCTCCCTTCTGTGTTCTTTCACTGCTGCAAGGTAATTTATACTCAGGGAGGGGTGCAAGTCTCCAGTGTGAACTCGTGAGCTCAACTTCCTCCACAGTGCTCACCTTTTCTCTGCTCCCCAAGGTCCTGTGGCCGTGCTGTTCCCGAGGTCTCCACGTCTCACTGCAGGGAGCAGCTGCTATGGTTTCGCCTGCTTTTTGCACTTTAAAAATCAGTGCCTTTGCTGCCCCATCCATCCCTCTGCAGTGCTTCATTCACACGAACCGGCCACTGAGTGGCTCAGTTTGGAGGGGTTGTGGGTGGGGCTGTAGGAAGCTCCCCCCTCGTTTCTGTGGGTACACAGGGATGGTGCTGGCTCTCGGGGCTAATGTTTGTTCCTCCCCTCCCAGCAGTACAAATATCTGTGGCTCAGTGAGCAACAGTTCTGATGTTTCTTAGAACATGCAGTTAATAGTATTAAATAATTACATGACTATTGGAATGTGTGTTGAATATGTGCCATTATACTTTTACCTGTTTAATAAGTTATTTGCAATAAAATAGTTTAAAGCAAAACTGCAGTGTTCTCAGGCTGTGAAGTATTTAAGGAGTTGGGTGCTGGGTGGCGCTTTACAATCTGCTTCAGTTAAAGAGACCAGGTAAATAGCGAGGCAGCCTGCTGGGCTGGGCTGGGCTTTTTGCCCAGGGCAGTGAGCAACACCTGAGTGTACCTGCCACCGGAGCCCATACTTCAAAGTCAAATCTTCTAGTGAGTTCTAGCACTGACATGAAAACATGCTTGCAAGTTCCACTGGAGCCTTACAAGCTAAGAAAGGAACTAGAAAGAAACATGGCCAAACCACAGAAGGAACAAAGCTGCAGACAGCACACGTCTGGCTGGGCAGTATACCAAGTGGGCACTGTCTTGTGCACCTGTGGAGCTTGAAGAGGCAGTGGTGGGGCAGGGCAGGGCGAGGAGAACCATCCCTTGTGAGGGAGGAAGGGCAGAAGCTGGATGGGGAGTGAAGGGATGGGCCTGAAACCTCTGGTTTGCTCTGTTTTTTTTTTTTGGGGGGGGGTCCGGTCGTGGGGCCTGAACTCTGGGCCTGAGCGCTGTCCCTCAGCTCTTCAGCTCAAGGCTAGCACTCAAAAGAAAAAAAGCCAGAAGTGGAGCTGTGGCTCAAGTGGTAGAGCGCTAGTCTTGAGCTGAAGAGCTGAGGGACAGCGCCCAGTCCCAAAGTTCAGGCCCCACAACCGGACCTCCCACCCCCCCAAAAAAAATACAAGCTGCAGGAATGATATCCAAAAAGAAATTTACCTGACCTATGTAACTGTAACCCCTCTACATATCACCTTTTGTTGCTATTGGTCAGTCATGGGGCTTGAACTTAGGACCTGGGCACTGTCCCTGAGCTCTTTTGCTCAAGGGTAGCATTCTACCACTTGAGCCACAGCACCACTTCCGGTTTTTTGGTGGTTACTTGGATATAATCTCAGGGATTTTTCTGCCTGGGATGGCTTTGAACTGTCATCCTCAGATCTCAGCCTTCGGAGTTGTTAGGGTTTCAGGTGTGAGCCCCCGGTGCCTGGCTTGTACATCACCTTTGTAACAACAACAAAAAGACTGTGAGCTGGGCTCATGCCTGCAGCCCAAGCTACTCAGGATGCTGTGATCTGAGGATTTTGGTTGGAAACCAGCCCATTCTGGACTGAGACTCCTATCGCCAATTAACCAGCAAAAAGCAAGAAGTAGACTTGTGCTCTAGTGGTAGAGCAATTGAGCAGAAAAAGCTCAGGGATAGCACCCAGGCCCTGAGTTCAAGCCCTAGCACTAGCATGTGTACACACACACACACACTATATCAAAGAACTAGTTTTTGCCTATCTTCCCCCCAACCCCTTTGTAATCTCAGACTTTCCTGCTCAGGCTGGCTTTAAACTGTGATCCTTAGATCTCAGCTTCCTGTGTAGCTAGGATTACAATTGTGAACCACCAGTGCCCAGCTTCTTTTCTTTTTCCCCATTTTAAACTGCCTTCTGCCAGCAGAGCTGCTGGCTCGGGCTAGGCTGTCTCCCTTTGTAGGGAGATGGAAGTAGATTCTATTTCTATAAAAGTTGCCCCTTTTTAAGTTACATATTAACAAAGTGAATTTTAGGACATTTTGTGTTGTTTTGGCAGATGGTAAGGGGGAAATACTGTCCTGTGGCTTGGAGATTGTATTTCCAAGAGTTCCAGGGTGAAAGGCTGGACACATCTCCTGAGACCTGGCAGAGTACGGATGGGCTGACACCATACCTGCAGGGCCAAGGCTGTTGTCCTTGACCACAGCACTGTCCACTGGACAAGTGATGCAACACAGTTCACCACCACTATACAGTCCATGACCAGGGCAGCCGCCTGAGCATGCACTTGGCCACATGTCTGCATTGAAAGTGGGAGGGGACTTGATGCTAAGTGACCTCCCCCCCCCAGTCTCCTGGTTCTGTACCCACAGGAAACCTCCCTCATTCCAGAATGCATGCTGTGTGGCCCTCTGACCAGGCCCGGAACTTGCAGGGTCTCTGGAGCCAGGGCTGCCCTGTGGGGCTGTCCCCTGCTGGCACCCACTCCCCAGTACTCCACCCTGCTCCCTGCACGGGGCAGACACCAGTTCCCCAGTCCAGGAAGCCCTGCAGACAGACGGACTGAGAAAACCTGCTATCTTTCTCCCCAGGTATGACTCTGGCCCATCCCTGATCCCCAGCTCAGAAGCTTCTTCAGAAGGCCACGATTGGCCCAGCCTGCAGTGGCAGGCCGTCTGTTCCTGCACATGGTCCAGAGCTAGCCTGCTCCTGACTCCCTGGGTTTGTGGGTAGCTGTGTCCCGCCGCTTTGTCTTTTGGTTCTGTTGTCTACTCCTCTTCAAGGCCCTTCACTGGCTTCTCATTGGCTTTATGTTTTGTTTTTGGCCAGTCCTGGGGCTTGAACTTGGGGCTTTTGAACAGCTGGGCTGACAAACTTGCTTCACTACACTGGGCTTCAAGCCCCGCCCACTATTAGGCAGGTACTTAGGGCAATTGAGCCATACCTCCATCTCTCTTTTAGCTTATTTTCCAGACAGGGTCTCACCTTTTTTTTCCTGAGCTGACCTTAAATTGTATTCCTATCTCTATCACGTCCTAGATAACTGAGATTACAGGTGACAGCACCACACCCAGCTATTTCTTTCTTTAGACAGGCTTTCACCTTGTTGTCAAGAGTGGCCTTGAACTCTTATGCTCAAGTGATTCTCCAGTCTTAGGTTTGATCTTCTAATCTCAAGTTTTTTTTTTTTTTTTTTTTGGTCAATCTTGGGGCTTGAACTCAGGACCTGGGCGCTGTCCCTGAGCTCTTCAGCTCAAGGCTAGCCCTTTGAACCACAGCACCAATTCCAGTTTTCTGGTGGTTAATTGGCAATAAGAATCTCACAAACGCTCCTGACCAGTCTGGCTTTAAACTGCAATCCTCAGACCTCAGCCTCCTAAGTCACTAGAATTACAGGCGTGAGCCACCAGTGCCCGGCTTCAGGTGTTAATTTTATCTCTGAAAGGCTCTGAAGGCAGAGCCAGACTTTGGTGGCATGCTGGTCCCCACCACAGTACCCTCTGGTCCAACATTCCCTAGAGATGTTTTCTGATTCTGGCTTTTCTTTCATTGGGACCCTTGCTTCCTTTTAAGTTCAGGCCTCTGGGAGACACCACCTTCTCTCCCAGAAACAGCATCCTCTCCCTCTTGAGACTTTGGGTCTTGAGAACTTCCAAGCTTCCTCTTCCCTTGACATGGTGGTGGTTGGGGCCCGGGGCCCCGGCGGTGGCAGTATGCTGGCACCCATTGCTCACAGGGCCCCCGCTTTCTCCTGCGTTGTTCGCTGTGCGTGGCGGTGCCCAGGTCTCTCTGCCTTCCTCTCTCTGGGCACTTTCCACACCTTCATGTGCTGGTTTGCTTTGTTTGGTTTTGTGCTTGGGCGGGAGTCGTCTCAGCCACGTAGCCACACCCAGGGCCCAAAGCTCTTGAAAACGAAAAACCCTTTAGCAGATCTGAAGAACTGGAGAAGTAAGAGACAAAGATATGCTGCTAGGAAAGCTCAGATGCTGTCCCCCTCAGTCAGGGTGGAGCTCCAGGAGGAAACGTGAAAGGGAGGGAAGTAGCAAATGAACTCCAGAAACCGCCCATAGGCTGAGTGTCAGGGACTGGATAAAGCTTACCGCAGCCCAAGGAAGAAGCCCAGAGATCAGGTGAGCTTCCTTAAAGAAAGAGCAGCTAATACAAACAGCCACGGAACAACCATGGACAGGCCTCCCCCAGCAGAGCTAGAGGAGTCTAAAGGTGAGGTTCCAGATGAGGGTTCTACAAGCAGCCTAATCACCAGTGACATGTAGTCGTGAAAACAAAGAGCAGGACCCGGGACCGTGTGCTGTCCTCAGGTCATTCAGAAGTGTCCCAGGAGAGAAGCCTTCAGGGTCTGGGAGCCCACTGGCACCCGGCCGAAAGGGTCCTGGCCCAGTCAGCCGCCAGGAAGATGCTCAAGCATGGGCAAAGTGGAGACACTGAGGGGGAAAGTAAATCGCAGAAGAAAAAAGCGATCTGGGGCTGGGCATCACAGCTCGGCCAGGAAACCCCAGGACTGAGAGACTGAGGCAAGAGGCCTACTCATTTGAGGCCAGCCTGGGCTATGTAGACCTTGTCTCAACAAAATCCAAAAGGTAAAGAAGTAAAATGAAAAGTCCTTACAGCACCCTGTACACTTGAGTATTGAGCAACCCAGTTGTCACCGTGAACCTCACCACATGCAAGGTGGAGGTGAGGAGGAGGAGCCTGGGCAGTGCCTTGAACACACTGCTCTCCATCCTCTCAGTGGTAGATCAGCAATTCTGTTCAGACCTGATGAAGACTTAGAGCGGTTGAAGAGCGAAACTTGTTTCTTCGAAGGTAGAAGACTTTTTTTTTTTAACTCTTTTAGTAGATATTGCTACTTAAAAAATGAGAAAAAGTTTATGAATTGCTCTCATTTTCTGCACCACCTTTCTGTTTCTCCATGATTGTCACCACTTCCTTGGTTCCTTGTGCTTTTATTTTTGAAAAAAAAAAAAGAAAAAAAATCCTGCTCAAGGTTTCCATCTTAGAAACTGTGACTGACAAGTATTTCCCAGTCCTCATTACAATGGGGACAAAATCTACTCTGCCTGCTTTGTGTATTCTGAGAAAGAAGCGCAAGCATATCCTGTAGAGCAGCATAGAAATATGACAAGTCTGGCTGACAAAGTCGTGAACACCAGGAGGAGAGAACTGTCTACCAGCGCTCATTGAGGGCTGGGACATCTTGGGACCGGGTGGCAGCCGATCTGTGTAGAGAGCAAGCAGGCTGCAGCTCCAGGGCCTACACGCCCAGCACCACACACACTTCAGAGGAAACATGGTCACAGCTGAAGACCACACGGGAGCTAGCAGAGGCCTTCACGCCTTCAGAGACACAATGCAAACTGTACTATTGAAAAAAGGGAGACATATGCTCCCTGTGTATGTGTGCGCGTGCATATGTGTGTGTGTACACGAGATCAGTACTGGGGTTTGAACTCAGGTCCTTAGGCTTGCTTGAGAGGGGCTCTACCCTTTGAGCCATGTCTCCAGATGCTTGCTTCTGAGCATTTATAAATGCAATAGGAAAAATCCCATGTGTAATTATATTGCTAGGTATATATGAGAGGTAAGTACAGACCATGGCCGTCTAACCCACAACCCAACTCTTTCTCAGACCACGTGTAGTCTGGCAAATAAGAGCACATTGCACAGCAAATTGATTCCGATCCAAGTTACTGTGAGAAGACCTACTGTCGACAAGGAAATGAGGGCTACGACGGCCAGCTGTCCAAAGCTCCTTCACTCGGTTTTCTGCTGCCACTGTGGGAATGGGAGGGAGGGGCCTGTGGGAGGCCAGTGTGTGCTGCCCACTGGGTGCCAGCACACCTCAATCAGTGAGGTCTCACACAGCTCTATATGGGCTTATTCTCAGATTTAATCTGATCGGTCTTCATGTCTGACCCATCTATCTTCTCATCTACCCACTATCATACTTTTCAGTATAACCCTCCAAACGCACAGATAGGCCAGAATGCTGAAAAACAGCTACACACACCAAAGAAATTATAAAAAGAGCTGGGGCGGATGGCTCACGCCTGTAACCCTAGCTATTCAGGAAGCTTAGATCTGAGGATCCAGGTTCAAAGCCAGCCCAGACAGGAAAGTATGAAATTCTTCAAATAACCACCAAAAAGCCAGAAAGCAGAGCTACAGCTCAGGTAGTATCAGGTAGTAGAGTGCTAGCCTTCAGCAAAAAATCTCAGAGTTCAAGTTCCAGGACCAGTACCAAACAAAAAACAAACAAACAAACAAACAAAAAAACAAAAGATACCACATGCATATTTATCTCCCAAAAGAGTGCTTGTCTTCCATGCATGAGGCCCTGGGTTCGATTCCTCAGTACCACATAAACAGAAAAAGCTGGAAGTGGCACTGTGGCTCAAGTGGTAGAGTGCTAGCCTTGAGCAAAAGAAGCCCACAGACAGAGCCCAGGCCCTGAGTTAGTGCTTGTGTTGATGTATGACCACAAATTCCTGTGCATGCTGTGTACACATGCGCATACACATGCATGAGCACACACGCACATACACACATTCTCACACATGTACACGCGGCAGCACACCATGAGTCAGGAGGGGCACACCTACTCCACACATGGCACAGGACTGATGCAAGCATCCCGAGTCATGAGTTAAAATCACTTTTTAAAACCCTTATATTCCAAGAGCAAGAACTTAAAATGCTGGGAATCCAAATGGGGCTCATTGGGTCCATAATCCACGAGTTTTCTAAAAATGCTGGACTCTACACATCTGCCTTCCTCCCCCAACCCATACAAAAAGCAACCCATCGCATGTCTAAGTGAGCAGAGCACAGCCACCGGTGCAAAGGCCAATTAAGAAAGCCAACGCTCCATAACGGGTTAAAAACAAGACAGCTGGAAGTCACAACCATCATTTTTTCAAGAACATTTATATATCTTTTTAATTAGATTAGCTTTACAAGCAACTTGGGAGCTCTTCCATAATGCAACACTGCTTTTCAAATTACATGACTTCAGAGTGTCCTTAGATGAATCCTGGAATCCTTTGCTTGCTATTATGATAAGGGAGTGTTTTACAGCTGATTAATGTGTTGAATAGGAACAGCATCATAAAGCTTAATCTCCAACCAGGCTCAACACACTGAGGCCACAGATCCGCTTTAGACTTTGCTTTAGAGTCCTGGTGGTGGTGAGTTACCGGTCTAACACAACATCAGAGGCTTTAGATGACTATTAGGGAGGCAGCTATCCTGGTTTCTTAATCTCTTCACAGTGGTCTCCAAGAAAACCATTCAATGGACGCCCTGTCTGCTGAGTAGAGGCCACTGCAGATTCTGGCTGAGTCCACCTGCAGGGGTGTGGCCTGAGGACGGTAGGCACTCAGCATGGAAGGCTGCCCCCTGTCCCAGCAGTGGTAGCTTCTGCCTGCCCGCCCGTGGAAGCAACTTCACCTGACCCTACAGACGGGCACTGGGGGGAGGGAGGGGGGCGCGTGGCCTCACAGCAGCCTGACACACGCAGGCTGGGTGGCAAAGCCCCGAAGCCCGCCCAGCATTCCTGGGTGGGGGAGGGGGGAGGGCCGGCCCGGCCCGGCTCGCAGAGGCACTTGCTGGAGAGGTGTTGGTGGTCACCAGGGGTGAGGGGAGGACGCGGGGCAGCGCTGAACACGGCCATGGACGGCACGGCGAGCCCCACGTCTGCACGCACAGCTGCCATGAGTGACAGTGAGGTGCAGAGGCCGAGTCGGCCACGCCCGGAAGAACAGCGATTTCTGCACAGCCCCCTTCCAGTAAAGCAGACCAAAGACAGGCGGCAGCCCCAGGGGCCAAGCCTCAGGAAGGACGGGTGCCACCCTCGGGGCTTCGCTCCAAGTTCAGGCACGTGAAGACAGGATGCCGGGCTTGACATGGATGTGGGGTCTGGGAGGAGGCCTTGGCTGGCCCAAGAGCCCGCAGCCCCTTCTCCTGGTCTCCCCACACCGGCAACCCCCCCCCTACCCCCTGGCCGGCTGCTTGCCGCCCTGCAGCTGACACACAGCCCGGGACCAGGGAGGAGAAGCAGAGGGAGACTGGTGGAGCAGAAGAAAGCCCTTTGACTTAGGAACCTGAAGTCTCAAGTTCACATAATGCCAGTCACTTGGTTAAAAAAATAAATAAATAAAAGGTTACGCCCTTCTTCCCATCTTTTTTTTTTCCCTTGTAAAATCATGTACTAAAGGTTACTTGCTACTCAGGGGTAACAGTCTACAGTTAGGTTTCATTATGACAATGCCAAAAACACAGCGATCTTCCAGAGTTCAGATTAGCGTGAGACAGGCCAAGTAAAATTCCGGGTTTTCAGTTTACAACTAAAGTGCTCCTTCCTCATTTCAGTTTAAAAAAACCCAAAAAACAAAAAAGGATCACCAGTCACTGGCAACAATCATTGCAAGAGGTCTTTGAGGGCAAAATTTAATAGTACGAAGTTTACAAAAATAGATTGATGTTATTTTGAGGAATAATACTGTCATTTTTTTCTCAATTCAGTTTTGATAAATTGTACCTAATCATACAAAAATTATCCCAAATTCAAACTTGATATAAAAAAGAGAGAGATGAAATGAACTCAGCTAAATGACAGATCTGGCAAAATATAAAAATGAAAACAACTCTACACAGGGCCTTAGTTCCTGTCCGGCGCTGGCACGGGCACAGGCACAGGCAGACGCAGGGGGGCCGCCACGCGGGACACGGCAGCCACTCCTCTGCTCCGTCGGCCAACAACAGCTGTCTCTGTCCTGTGAAATGCCATCCGGCGCCTCCTTCCTTCTCCTGTCACCGTGTCCACACGAAGTCAGCAGATGGCTCCTGAATCCCGGCCAGTGAGGTGGGCACCCCTGGGGCAGACGCCGCATCGCTAGGCAGAGGCCCCGTCGCTGGGCAGAGGCCCTACTGGACATCCTTACTGATGGAATCCGACGGTTTATTGAGGTCAACCCTCACACCCTTCTCTCCTACAAGGCAAAGACATGTTCCCTGGTTAGGCACCAGAGAGTCCAGCACTGCTGCCCGACTCTGCAGATGCCACCGGGGCTTGCAGAGCCCTGGGACCACGTGCCCTGCCCCGCACTCCACGCCAGCCACCCTTCCCCGCAGTGTGACCAGCGGGACACTGGAACCAGGCTTCCGTGGGCAACCGACCATGTCCTCTGAAACCAATGCTGTCTGTCTCTAGCAGACAGCAAATCAGGACTGAAAAATCTACAAAAATCCAAGGATTCGACTAGACTGCCAGAGGCTTGTTAGAATGCAGTGAGCCAGTAATGGCCGGACTAGGGTTTCTGGAATCTAAGGCAGGGTCCGAGAAAGACAACTGGTCATTGTGAGAACCTGACGCCCATGGTCCTAGGAGGGCAGGTGGTGCACGCAGTGGGTGGGTTGCGGGATGCAGGATGCTGGGGACAGATGGGCGTGGCCGTCAGGAGAGGAGGTGCGCTTCCTTCAAAGGGGAGAGGGCCCGAAACCGGCCAGCCAGCTTGCATTCGACGGGGCTTGCTCTGCCTCACATTTCCCTAATCTCAATCCCGAACAGCAACGAGGAACACTCAGGAGAAATCCTGTGTTAAATGGAGTTAAGGAATCTGACCTAGCTGTGAGCGTTTGCTGTGTTCCCGGGCCAAGCCTAGGTGGCGAACGCTGGTTAACGGGTTGCTGGTGCCCGAGGCCAGCCCCCACCAGGGCTTACCTGTGAGATATTTTACTTTAGCTCTTGCTCGTTCATCTGCATCAAAATACCAAACAGTTATTGCGTACCTAAAAGAGAATTCAGAACAGGTTGAGAAGACCCGCACGGGTGCGGGTCCGCTGCAGTGTGCGGGCAGGTATGTGTGTGGGGATGACAGAGCCACCCGTCACCAGCAGCCCAGAGGTGGCAGCTGCACTGCAGCAGCAGGAACAGGTCGCACACTGTGGGACAACATACACTGCGTGAGGGGGGCAGCGCATGGTGGGGTTTGCCACCGCCCGGAGGAGCCACGAAGACACTGAACTACGCTCAGGAACTTTGCAGACTCTCCTGTGCTTTGACTCCAGCGGACAGGAGGATGATGCTATTCCACAAGGGCGGGGCAGGCCCGCTCCAGGGGCATCGAGCCCAGGCTATGCTGCCCACGTCCAGAGAGGTCCAGGAAGCAGGAGCTTGCTGCATGCCACGCTGCTCAGGAGCACGGGCAGGGCAGTGTCAGAACTGAATTGAGTCAAATGCACCGAAGAGCCGGGCACTTCGTGGCTTACCACGCTTCTCTCTTGTGCGGCCTCTTCTGGGGAAGGGGTAAGATATACCGTGTGGGGGTTTCTTTTGCTCCGACTTCTCTCCATGTGCACCTACAGAACACGGATCTGCAAACTGGAGACTTCCTAATTCACCAACATTTCCTCAACTCCAGCTTCCTCGTGGAAGCAGTTTAACAGAGGAGAGCATAGAGTTGTGTAACTGGAGCTCTGGATGGGAGGCCCGGCACCCGGCTCCCAGCATCCAGCTCCTGGGGCCCAGGCCGGCCACTCCCCAGCCTCCTGGGAGAGCGCAGCTGTGGGGGCGTGGGCACTTGGGCCTGAGGAGCTAGCTCTCTCTCTCTCTCTGTAGCCCAGGTTGGCTTGGAACTCACAATCCTGCCTCAGCCTCCCAGGTGCTGGGATTAGAGGTGTCACCCACCACGCCTGGCTTTCTTCCAACTCCCAGCCAAGTTCCCCTGTGCCCCATGTCCCCTCCTGTGCTCAGCTTTCAGAAAAGAAACACTACCTTGTAGCATATGCTGGTTGTACTTCATGAGGGTTGCGACGGTCAGACCAGAAAAACAGCAGTCTATCAAATTTGGGTTCAATGTCAGCAAACTGGGCTTTGCCTTCTGGAAAAATTCGAAGTATACCTCCACTTACCTAGGAAAAGAGTTGAGTGTGTGAGAGGGAGCAAGCATGCACGCCACCGGACGGTGTCAGTGAAGTAAGAGGCTCGTCTGGTGTGCTCACAAACAAACCTCAACCAACAAGGTACTGGAGTGAGTACATGATTAGTGCTAGGAAAAGAGTCACTTTTTGTTTTAGAGACATCTGTGAACACCTGATGAAACAAACGTCCTAAAATAATGCGTGAGTTTCAGAAAGCAGCAGATGTTTATTTGTGTCCATACCCTTACAGCCATATTCTGAACCAGCCTGATGAGCGCATTAGCCCAGCCAAGGCTCATTCTATCAAATAAACCCTGTGTCTTATTTTATGGTCCAGCAAAATCATCGCAGGGGCCTTGGCCTCTTATGTGAAGAATCCCCCATGGGCTACGGAGTCGCCACATCCTCGCACCCAAGACCCAGTCCTGCCCACCCTGGAGGACACACCAGGGCAGTTTAATCTCATCTACAAAGGCTACCCCCGGCTACCCACACACATGCTGTTTGGGACCAAATGGACTCGCATGTCCAGCCCTGGATGGACATCATGTGCGCGGGGAACCGTAGGGCCTGGTGGGGAGCAGGGTGAAGGAAGACCCGGCTCCTGGGTTTCCTTCTGGGAGTGCAGATGCACAAGACCAGCCCAACCAAGCCACTGGACCCTCTGCAGGTGGACTGGCAGGAATTTTAGTGCGTGGTCCTAAACTATCCCCAGAACTTGAGAGTAATGTCCCAGGGCCTCCTCCCCAGGTGAACCCAGACACAGGCCCCTGGCCTGCTTACTCTATTCCTGTTCAGTGAACCCCAGGCACCTAGCAAAGTGTGTGTGCATGCACATGCCTGTACACCAGTCCTGGAGCTTGAACTCAGGGCCTGGGCTGTTCCTGAGCTTTTCTGCTCAAAGTGGTACTCTACCACTTGTGTCACAGCTCCACTTCTGACTTTTTTGCTGGTTAACTGGAGATAAGAGTCTCACAGACTTTCTTGCTGTGGCTGGCTTTGAATTGCAATCTTCAGATCTCAGCCTCTTGAGAAGCTAGGATAATGGGTGAGAGCCACCATTGCCTGGCTATTTTTAAGTGAAAAAGACTTAAAACAGTTGGGAAAATACTTGATTATGTTGCATACCTTGGCATCCCAGTCTTTATTTAGATAATATATACAGGTCACACATCTGCCGTCTCCATTCGGATTATCAACGTGGCGAACGTAGCCCGTTCCGTTGCCGGGGTAACAAGCTACCATAGCCTGTAACAACAACAGCGAGTGAGAAGCCTGCGGTGGACGTGGAGGATGCTGCCTTAACATGGCTCTTTTCTCCAACAAAGGCGGCGCCGCTGCTGGCACGGATGAGATGCAGCAAGCTCTTCCCCCTGTGGCTGCGCCAGTGAAGCTCAGGGCGGCAAAGCCGGCGGCTGGGATCGAGTGTGACAACGCAGGCCAGGCGAGCCCGGGCCAGGTCTCACTGCCCACTTTGATTATGGGAAGAACAGAGCCCCCTCCCCCAGACCCCTCCTCCTCATGGCTCTGGGGCTCGTCCCCCCACCAAGGAGTGTGGGCCAGCTCCCGTGCGTGTCTCATCCATGCCGGGAAGCAAAGGAGTACGGAGGGAACCCAGGACAGGCGAGGGGAGCCAGGCTGCCCGGGGCCCAAGGTCAGCTCCCAGCAGCTGGAAGAGGAACCTGCACAGGCTGGAACTGCCAGAGCTAGCCATCCCTGCTGAAAACAACACAGCTCAGGATTTCAAGGCTCCGCAGGCCTGTGTTGGGGGCCCAGATGAGCCGTGCCGTTCCCCGGAGTGCCCGCTGCCCCGCAATCACCCAGGAGCACTGACAGGTGAGCATCGGACACAGCATCCGAGAGCCAACTCCTAAACAAAACACTACATAACACACCAGTTCACAACGAACCCCTGCTCAACCAGAAACTTAACCATAGCAAGATGCAGTGCAGAAGTTCATTGTAGAGGCTACTTTCATCCTTGGAAGAGGGAGAGGGGAGGGAAGGAGAGGGAAGGAGAGGGAAGGAGAGGGAAGGAGAGGGAAGGGGGGGAGGAGGGAGGGGGCAGACATGATGCCCTCAGAGCGGCAGGAAGCAGGAAATGCTCCCAGCTAGTCTTTAAGCCTTGGACTTCATGGGCTGGAGTCGCTGCACCAGTACAAAACTCTAAGGAAATAATGCAGTGATTCTATCATTATATCTATGCGGCCATGCTGCTGGTGTTGGGCTGGTTCATTTCTCACAGCCTGCAGCAGGGCAATCTGAATCCTTCCAGAAGGAAGTGTGCATGGACACTGCCCACACCCTCCCAGGCATGGGGCTATGGGGCCTCACATCTGTTCTTCCTGACTCCTCACAGCTCAGCCCCTCTGGGCACGGCTACGACCGCAGGCGGGCACCGAGAGCCAGGGTGGATTCACACGAACATCCCAGGCGACTGTGTAAGAGTGTGCTCAGCCACAAGAAGGCACCAATATTTTTCTTTTTGGGGAGTACTGAGGTTTGAACTCAGGGCCTCATATTGTCAACATGCTTCTCCCACCAGTCCCTTTTGTGTTGGCTACTTTCAAGACAAGTCCCCATGTCAAACCACCCTGTGACTCCACCTGTGACCCCTTTGTTGGGATGACAGGTGTGTCCACTGCACCTGGCCATGGTGGGTGAGATGCACGCACCACTGAGCCAAGTCTCCAAAACTTGAGCTGAACTTGTGTGTGTGTGTCCGTGTGTGTATATGTGTGTGTGCATGCGCACCTGCGCGTGCATTCCAGCCCTGGGGCTTGAACTCAGAGCCTGGGTGCAGTCCCTGAGCCTTTTCAATCAAAGCTGGTGCTCTTCCACCTGAACCCTGGTCCTGGTCTCTCAGCCGGCGGAAGCCACTAGTGCTTGGCTCAAGCTGAAGTTCTGAAGATGATCTCTGCCTCCCCAAGAGCTAGGGCTACAGGCTGTGCCCATGAGCCCAACTTCGAGCCCCAACAACAGCACAGCCAACCTGTGAAAAGCTGGAAAATGATTAGACGAGAATGATTTTTTTCCCCTCAACACCTAATCTTCCCCACAGGATCTCATTTCAGAGAGTGGATTCAAAGTCTCCAACTCTCCATAATGCCAGCGTCTCTCAGGCAAGGGGAAGGGGGGTCTGACTCTCCATCCCTGTGCCTGTCCTCCCCACCCCTAGATCTCCATCCAAGGGCTCAGTTGAGCAAATTCACCCCGAGGCACCACAGACCACCACGTCTTGGGGCTACAGGACTAACAAAAGCTGCAGGCTCCTGTAACTGCAGCCAGCCCAGTGGGTGAGCCAATAAGCATACAATGTCCTATAACTTTTCCTGAAACAGAAAAAAAGCAAAGCCAGGTGCCAGTCAGTGGCTCACACCTGTAATCCCAGCTGCTTAAGAGGCTAAAGAGCTGATTATCTTGGTTCAAAGCCAGCCTGAGCAACAAATCTGGGAGATGCTCTTTTTTTTTTATGATGGGGGGGAACACTCATCTCCAATGAACCAGCGAAAAACCAGCCTGGAGGTGTGACTCAAGTGGTAAAACATCAGCTATGAGCAAGAAAGCCAAGCAAAAAAAGGTGAATGAAGGTACAGAGAATAATGGCTTATTTTCCAGGCGGCCAGGACACCTGGTCTGGGGCAGGGGGTGGGGCAGGGATGGAGGTTGGGGTGGAGGGTGGGAGGAGGAGACAGGCAAGTAATCCTGGTCCTGAGGTGGCAGGCCGCAGGAGAGGAAGGGATGAACAAGCAGGGTCCATCAAGACTTGAGGCCACCAGGTCCATGGGCTGTGGGGCCCAGATCAAGCCCATAGAAGAATTGTGGGTCTTGTTTCAGAAGTGACAGGAAGCCGGGCACTGGTGGCTCATGCCTGTCATCCTAGCTACTCAGGAGGCTGAGATCTGAGGATCGTGGTTCAAAGCCAGCCTGGGCAGGAAAGTCCATGAAACTCTTATCTCCAATAAGCCACTCAGAAAACCAGAAGTGGTGCTGTGGCTCATGTGGTAGAGCGCTAGCCTTGGGCTGAAGAGCTGAGGGACAGCGCCCAGGCCAAAAGTTCAAGCCCTACGACCGACCAAAAAAAAACAAACAAAAAAAAAACCACAAAGTGACGGGAAGGTGGCTGCGGTGGGGCATGCCTGTAACTCCCAGCACTTGGGAGGTTGAGGCAGGAAGATAGTGGCTCCAGGCCAGGTTGGACTAGACAAGAAGCAGGACCACCCTGACAGGGATGACAGCCAACGAGGACAGCCTGTGTCCAGTGTGGCAGGCTCAGCATTACCAGTGCCTGCATCCCCAGATGCTGCCGCCAGCCAAGCACTGCTTCAGGGTGTGCGTGTAAGGCCTCACCTGCTCGGGAGGAAGCACAGGTCACCCCACCTGCACTGCAGACTGTTCTCAGCCGCTTCCCACACAGCAATTCCAAGCAAGTGCGACGCTTAAAGAACAAAAACGTCTAATAAAAGCTTCAAACTTTCCAAGTTTCAAATCAGCTAAACAAAACCTTAATTCAATTATGCTGATTATGTCTTCCAGTTATGTATTCATAAAGCAGCCCTGTGCTAGTCAACTAGCAAAAAGCCAGCCCAGGGAAAATGGCTCAGTGGCTTGCTTCAACTAGCAAAAACCCAGCTGGGGGCTGGGAACATGGCTTGCCTCAAATGCATGAGGTCCTGGGTTGGATTTCTCAGCACCACATAAACAGAAAAGGCCGGAAGTGGCACTATGGCTCAAGTGGTAGAGCACTAGCTTTGAGATGAAGAGCTAAGGGACAGCTCCCAGGTTCTGAGTCCTGGACTCAGCCCCAGGACTGACAAAAAAAAAAAAAAAAAGCCAGTCCAGCGGTCCATAGGCCGTGGACCCAGAGGGAGAGCAGCGTCGGGAAGGCGGGTGGCAGAAGGCCGGGCCACTAGGCCTGCATTTCCCCTCCTGCTTTGACCAGCTCACTCACCCTTGGCCATATCAGCCTGGCCAAGGGCAGCGCGACTCCAACTGTAGAGGCTAAAGGAATGCCAACAACCCCACAAACTAGGTCTGGGGGTTCCCATCACGCTGACCTGAGACCATGTCACAGACGCCTTTCAGCTTTGCCACTTTCCCAGGAGACCTCTGCCAACACCTGCGGACACTCACCTCCGCCCTTCTTCCCGCCCGCACATTTGTGAGGGGGGCCAGCCTTCACGGGGCTCCACACCGGGGTCTCCCCTTCCGCCCACCTATAAAGGAGCTCAGATCCCCCAGCTCAGATGTTATGATACAACTATGGTTCGGCAAGGTCAGCAACAAAGCAGCAAGGTGATCACAGAGGCCTCCTGGGGCTGTGTGGAGTAAGCTGAGAGGAGGCATGCGAGTTGTTCCTGCAGACTTACAGCTCACTGCACCACAGCCAGTATTTCATGTCAATCCTGCACCATTGACAGGCACCTGTGTGGCTGACAAGCCATCTCTCGCCATCTGCAGCAGAAGGAGGAAGAGACTGACACCCACTTGGCCATTGGGGATGCGCTTACTGTTCTTGGTTTTTACACCCTGGCTGGAGAAGCTGCTCAGGTGTCCGTGCGCTGCCATGCCCACACGGGCGTGACCCTACAGTCACAGCTCCAGTCTGCTCTGGTCTCCACTGAGCCTGAGCCACATCCTTTATCTCTCACCCTCCAGCAGGGCTAGGGTTTGAACTCATAAACACTAGAGCCACAGCCCCCAGGCTTCCAGCTTCATCTGTCCTTATATCTCCAGTGCCAAACATGGGCACTCAAGTATCTGTTAAAAAACCAACTTAGCAATCTACTTTAGAGCCGGGGAGAGATGGCAGACACACACAGAACACATAGCCATCTTCAATGCTGTTTCAGAACAGAAGTTGAGTTCTACCATCTTAGGCTAATGGTTGGTGGAAGCTGCTAAAAGCTTATGAAAAACGAACTTGAAGTCTGGCCACTTCCCAACTTCACAGACAGCCAGCATACACGAGCCACATGCATACCTCCCGCCCCCACGCCACGCCAGCCCCACAGACAGCCAGCACACACGACCCACACGCACCCCCTGCCCCCACGCCAGCTCTATAGATGGCCAGCACATAAGAGCCACACGCACACCTCCCGCCCCTATGCCACGCCCCAGGCACAGTCTTCTGCACAGCCGTGGGTTTTATTTTGGCCCCAGATGCATTGCGTCTTTTCAAAATGTGGACACAGATGTGGTACGTGGTTTAGGAAAATGGACAGTGAACTGCGCATGTGATGTGT